TTCAGCAGTCCTCTGTGCAGGAGTTAAAACATGCTGATGTTTTGTTTGGACTTAATGTAACATTGAGAGCAAGGCAGGGGTCTTAGGCATCCACGCTAGCATTTGTCAGGCTGTGTAGATAACGCCTTAGTGCGTTATCTAGGCTACCCAGTTGCTCCTGGACAAGAGGGTTACTGGCATCTCTTTGCCCAGGTGCATCTAAGCTGTGTTGCAATCCATTCTCCAGGGAAGACTGAGAGCAGTGGAGTGAGGGATGGAGCAGCAGGGATGTCCTGCCCTGTGCAGTTGGGGGGCTCCTGGGGCAGTGGGTAGCTATTTGTGCAGTAGTCTGGCCCCATCTGGTAGGCACAACCTGTCTAGCAGATCCTAGGGGCTCTGTGCTGACTGAAAGGTTCCCTTGTTGGTGTCTTGCAGCACACTTCGACTATCAGTATGGGTACCGGAAATTTGAGGGCTCGGATGGCTCCCGCACTCAAAAGTATGCTAGCAACATCACATATTACTTTGACAACATCAGCAGCACTGAGCTGTACAGTGTGGACCAGGAACTGCTCAAGGACTACATCAAGCGTCAAATGTAAGCGCTGCCTCTCCTTCTTGTCTGAACGTTGTTTGGGGACGTTTGTTGGTGGCATGTTTACTTATGCCCTCCCTGGAGGCTGCGTAGCAAATCCCTTGGGTAGGGCTGGAGCTGAGGCATGTTTACATTGTGCCACGCTGCTTGCAGCACTGGTTTGCTGCATCCTCGTGCCCAGGCTTTCTGTGTTCAACCTCGCAGCGGCAGAAGAGCTCAGTGCAGGAAAGGGGAGGGATTATTTCCTCAGGGGTTCCCTGAGGAAGGTAGCAGGAGCTGCCTCTCACTGGCACGTTGTCCATGCAGAGAGTATTACTTCAGCGTGGACAACCTGGAGCGAGACTTCTTCCTGCGTCGCAAGATGGACTCGGATGGCTTCCTTCCCATCACCTTGATCGCCAGCTTCCACCGGGTGCAGGCACTGACTACTGACATCAGCCTCATCATCAAGGTAAGGGCAAGGGGAGCTGAACTTTCCTTCTCTGAACTGCTTCTCACCATCCTAGCCTGTTTTCTAGTTGGTCGTGGGTGAGATGTAAGTAATGTCTCCCTTTGTCCTTGACTCTTTTCCCTCCTCCCCTTGAACTGCTTGGAGAGGAAGGGCTAGGGCTGGGGCTGAGCCAGTCAGCATGCCGAGGCAGGGCCCTAAACTAATCCAGTGTCACTTGGTTCCAGGCTCTGAAGGACAGCAAGGTAGTGGAAATTGTGGACCAGAAGATAAGGAGAAAAGAGCAGCCAGAAAAATGGGCTCTGCCTGGCCCTCCCATGGCAGACTACACACAGACAGACTTCTCCCAGTTCATCAACTGCCCTGAGTTTGTGCCCAGGCAGAGTTTCCAGAAGGAGACGGGTGAGTGTCCCAGGAAGTGAGGAATGTGGTATTGGTACCACAAAAGGACTGAGACTCCTGAGAGGCAGGTGCATCCCCAAGACAAGGCTCTGCCATTTGATTTTCTGCGTTGTGGTGGGAGCCAGCATGGATCTGTCCAGGTACATGGAAGAGGCTTCAGGCCCCCAGAGCACTGTCCCTGTGTATGGGGAAACACGGAAGAATCAAGTGTATGGCTTTGCCCTTATACATCCAGGAGGAGGTGGGGTGGTTATTGGAGAGCCCTCCATCAGTTGGGGGCTGAAGGGATTTAGGGAGGGTCAGTCCTGCTGGAAGTCTCTCAGCCGTTCCTGGAAACAGCTTCCCACGCCTGGGCAAAGCAGAGGACGCTCCTGAACCCAGCCTTGCCCAAATGGGTGAGGAGATGTGGGGCGCAAATCAGGCAGCAGGTAAGGAGCTGTCAACCAGGCGCTATCCTTTAAGGGCTGCCTCCTGTCCTTGTCCCCCCCATCCCCTGGGGGCTGGCAGGAGCCCGGGGCTGGGCTTGAAAGGCCATGTAGAGGAGCTGCCTGGTGCCATTGTAAGAGTTAGTGTTGGCAGGGGAGATCTATCCCTGCTGCCTCCAGGCTATCTTGGGAAGGTTTCCTTGAGAGTAGCAGATGAACCACTTGCTTCAGAGCTCTTTACACATCTGGGAAACAGGCATGTGCAGAGCTCTGGTCAAAAGCAGCATCACAGCCTTCAATAGAGATTTTTTTCAGCGCTGTGAGGCAGTGGGCTGGTAGTAGGGGTGTTCCTGCCTAGGGTGCTGGATGCCGGCATGTCGCATGAGCTATGCTGTGCTGCCAGAATGACTTGATAGCAGGGGGAGATGCTTTCCTCGTGGTTGGGTGCTTTACGCACGCAATCCCCAGGGATTGCTCCCTCCTCCAAGCCCCAGGCCGTAGGCAGGGTTAAGCACCCAGCTCTGAGGCTTGTAAAACACTTTGTGGCTCTCACTGGCTCTAGAATCTGCTCCTGGCTCCCCACGTCCTGCCAGCCCGGTCCCCACCAAAACAGAGGAAGTCAGTAACCTGAAGACAATGCCCAAGGGCCTGTCCGCAAGCCTACCCGACTTGGATTCAGAGACGTGGATTGAAGTGAAGAAGAGGCCTCGGCCCTCCCCAGCCAAGCCCAAGGTATGGAGCGATACAGGAGCTGTTGGGATGGGGTTCTGCCAGGTGTCTGTGTGACTTTAACCATAACTGAGCAGCAGGTTTCAGACCAAACAAGGTCTGTCAGCCATGGGAGTGATTTTCTAGTCTTTCCTGTCCCTATCTGAACTCCTTTTGTAGCTGCTCCTCAGTGGTTGAGATGCAAATAAAGTGTTCTCCTCTGATGGGCAGTTTCTGGTTGGGGTAAAGAAACAACATGCAACAGCAAGGTCTCCAAGTGCTGGACCTGTTCTGTTGTCTGGTCGTTACCCCACATCACCTTTATCCCCGTGCTTGTAGAAACCAGAGGAGTCGAAGACACCGCAGCAGCAGAAGCAAAAGGACCAAGACGAACCTGAGGAGCTGGACTTCCTCTTTGATGAGGAGATGGAGCAGATGGATGGCCGCAAGAACACATTCACCGACTGGTCAGATGAGGATTCGGATTACGAGATTGATGATAGAGACGTGAACAAGATCCTCATTGTGACACAGACACCTCCCTACCTGCGCCGGCACCCTGGAGGGGACCGGACTGGCAACCACACATCCAGGGCTAAAATGAGCTCAGAGTTGGCCAAGGTGATCAATGATGGGCTGTACTACTATGAGCAGGACCTGTGGACGGAGCAGTTTGAGCCAGAGTACTCTCAGATCAAGGTGAGAGCTGGGCTCTGTAGCTGATCCAAGGAAGGGAATTTGTGTGGTGGGGGGATGCTTCCTTACAGGGAGCCTAGTGTGAGGCAAGTTGGCCACCCTGGGGCTTCGGAATGGAAAAGGTGGTACACAGGGTTCTGGCCCACGTATAAGGCAGAGCCAAGCTGGGATTTATCCTTTGGCAGCATAGGACTGTGAGCGGCGTTTAGCGTGATGCAGGGAACCAGGAGTCCTCTCTGCTGTGTCTGGGGATAAACAGGTGTGTAGTGTGGCGTAAGGCTGCAGCAAGTTAAGTGAGGTGCCAGTAACAAGGTGACCTGGCAAATGGGATGCATTGCTCTGTCTGCCAAGGTCTTGCCCTGGTGGTGGGCAGGCAGTGTCGGATCTCTGGAGGAAACGGGTGTCTCTGCCTGGTCCATAGTGCCCAGTGCTTAATGGCATGGCTCCTTGGAGACTGCAGTTATTGGGGGCAGGTTCATTGATAGCTAGGCCATACCTGGCCTCTGCTCTTCTCTGTTTTATTACTGGTTTCCATAGACTTGGGCTTTTTAGAGAAAGCTCATCTGCCTCTCTACAGCAGGCGAGTCCCAGCTTGGTGACTCTCACAGTCAGGGACTTCCCTGGGCTCGGTTAGGGACTGAAGTGACTTCCGCTCTGAGGCGGGATGACCTGTCAGACCACAGGCTCTGTCTCCCCGTGTTGGGTCCCAGGCACATGGCTGAAGTGTAGTGCTACTCTCTGTGGCAACTGAAGCTGAGGGTGTGGGGAAAGGACAATGTGAAGAGCGTTCTGGGGTTACGGATACTTCAAATAAATGGGAGTGTTGTGCCCTGCACGCAGTGTGGCTTTGAGGATGTGGGAAGGAGGCCCTAGAGATGCCAGAAGACAGCAGGGGTGATGGGGTCTTGGTCGAGCAGAGGTTATCAAACTTGCCTTGAACCCTGCTGCACCGGAGGTGACGTAGGCAAGTAGAGGAGCGTGAAAGAAGTACGTGATGTTGAATGAAGCTACCTTATAGGATCCCAGAAAGCTTGGGCCTGGTGAGTTCAGGTCTGGTCACTGCAGGGCTGTTTTCTGTCTGTTGTGTTTACCCTTGTAACATATGAACAACATGCCACCTGTCTGGGCACCGAGGCCCAGTCACTGTATTTTGTGCCCAGTGTTGCGGCTGTTGCACAAGCACAGCAGTGGTCGAGATGAGCTGTTGAGATGAGGGGAGAAGTGAGTAATTGGTTGCTTCATCATCTTCCTCTTCAAACGCAGCAAGAAGTCGAGAACTTCAAGAAGGTGAATATGATAAGCAGGGAGCAGTTCGATACCCTGACCCCAGAGCCCCCTGTGGATCCAAACCAAGAAGTCCCTCCTGGCCCTCCCAGGTTCCAGCAAGGTAAGTGAGAGCA